GAAAAAAAAATCTCAGCGATTTACTATTCTTTCTTCTTGGCGTCATAGTTTAAATCTATCATGATGTATTTTTCATAGTTATCGGACGGCGTCATGGTTACTATTAATGATGATTTGTACCTCCTGCAATCACGTGGAATACCTGGCACACTGCCACTTTGTGGGTTAGGTTATGTTAATGTTGGGTTAGGTGCTAGCAGCATGTAAAATACTTGCGCAATACAGCGGAAAACTGTTTCGTTCGTTTCTTTTGGGATTCTTGACGCGGCGCTTTGTCATTGGTTAATTCAGTTTCGACGGTCACTCGAGGTTAGGTTTTCGTCCTATTGGCAATTTGCCGTGAGAAAATTTGAAAAAACCATGCCGTCAAATTGTGCAAAGTCGTGGCCAATGATTTTTGTGGTTTTGCCAATTCCTTCACGAATTTTCACGTAGATCCCATCGATCTTGTATGTGGATCGATGAGAGATCGATAAATTACTTGAAATTATTTTAGTGGAAAATTAATATTTCGTTTGAAACAATGAAACGCAACGCGTAATATCAAGAGGACCAAATCGTGTCAACAGCCCAGGGCCGGATGGTGCTACGAATAAATACAAAAGCCGGATGAAGAATTTACATATGAAAATTGGAAACCTACTTTCTGATCTTCACTTAGGTACAGGGCACGCGTACTGCATATCTATCACAGTTGCATTATGCAGCTGCACATTTGCATCCGAATGACTTTATCTCTCGAGGAAATATATATATATGCATAAGCTGACCAGGATTTAATTGGATCGTAGAAACACGCATCCAAAGGATGAATTTCTAAAGGTATAAACGACGCGACACAAAGCCCTCATTAACATACATCGAGAAATTCTCGAGTGTCGCTTCGTGCATCTGTAGAAATTTCAATCGACATTAATATCCGTTAAAAGAATAAAAAAAAAGCATAACGAGTATTCATTTACGAAAAATTTATATCGTTAAAAAAATTTTGAAACTTTTTTTTTTTTAATGGTACTGTATCTACCTTTTGTACCCAAAAGTACAGTACGAGGCAAAAATCCTTATGAGACCTCTCTGTACGCTGTATACGACTTACAGGTTAGATCTCGGCCTAACTTATGCACCGTACTGTACTTCAGTACGTATCTAAACTCTACAGTAGTTCCGTACCGAAAACGCAATACGTACACGCACAATCAAGATAAGTCACTTCCATTGTACGTACGGCCGTGCCTTTCGGGGGCCTCATTTACAGCAGCTCCTTTAACACCACTCCCATGTCTATTTTAGGCGTTTCGTCGTAACGCGAGATCTACTTTAGATTTTTAATTTAAATTACCCGCCACTTTTATCTCCTTCCTCCATACGAGCCGTCCAGAAATACATATTTCATACGTCAACGCACGTGGTTTCCCATAAGCGTCAGAGACAATCCAGCAAGTATTTTCCTTTAAGAGGAATTCTGCGGTTGCCGCATTACAGATTGCACATCGTGGAAACTATGTCCTTGGCCTCGTTTCAATTTTTCCCCTTATTTTCCACTTTCGAGGTTAACCCCCTTCTTTTTCTTCTCTATCGACCAAGAATACAGTCGATACGGTACAAAGGCGATAAATCAGTAATTTCATATTGAAAAAAAAAATTATTATTAATAAATCCCCCATACGCCAAACATTCTCATGAAATTCTGTCGTATGGTCAATCGATCCCAGCGCCATACTCGATTTCTTGTACCATTCAATGCAGATTTCCTTTGTCCCATTATGCTTCCAGCAATGAATTCCACTATATATATATACACAACGTACAAACTCCATTATGACAGTCTTCGGCAGTCTTTCGCGTGCACTCTTTGTTTACACACGCATTCCACCGAATACACGTACCGCGGTCTGGAGACCAAGGCGATACTAGACACAAGCAAGCTAGACCTAATCCCACCTAACCTAACCTAACCTAACACGCACAACTGTCCAAGCCGTACGTGTAGCACTTATCAGCATCACAAAGCACAGCCGCTTGGTTGGCCTACATAATCCCACGCCTCGTCAGCCATTAAACTTTAAACCAAATTGCGTTCGAATTGTTTACACGCCTATTTACATGAACAATTTTACATTCAAAAGACAAATTTATAATATGCATTTGTATTCGTAGTCCGAGGCTATCGAGGCCAGTAAATCGTTCTTTGTCACAGGGTTCAAAGAGGAGCCTATAGGTGTCAGTCCTGTTTTACCGAGGAGGCCATAACGATATATAAAAAGGCCGATACACATGTATCTTTTTTTGAATGCTTATACCCAGAGTGCCAAGTGCAGCTTGTGGACGTTAATGAAAAAGTCAAAAACCTCTCGAGCCTTTTCGACCAATTAGAGAGCTACGCTCTGTTATCGCTACCGTGTTGGATAGAATACCGATAAGAGCGTTTCTACGAAAACAATGAAACTTATTTTGACTTTTTCCTTTTTTAATTCATACGTAACTTTTGAAACGACGAACAATTAGGTACCTTTTTTTGTTTCGTTTGATTTTCATAATAAATCTTACGTCACGTCATTGTACGTTTTAATTGTTGGGTCATGTGATTTTGTATTTTCCTTGGTTCTGTTGTATGGTTTATTATTTTTTTTTCTAAGTTCTCTCTCTCTCTCTTGGATTCTGTACTGCTACAAAACCTTCTGTTCAAGGCTAGGAACGCTAGTCACACGATACCGGATACGAAACTCCAATGAATCGGGCTTCTGTTGGCTGTTACGTAAGGCCTTCCTGTTTCCAAAGGTTTACATTTCGCGCACCGCGCTTTTAGCTTCTTTATCGTGCGCGCGCACGTCACGTGATCTGTGCTACGGGTAATACGATAAAGTGCCGAATTTTCGGGGAGATGATGGGTTATAAAAAGCATAAAGAGGAGTCTCGGAGATCAGAATGATTTTATAATAAATGAAATATACCAGGCATATCTATGTAATTACGTAAAAATTTATTTCTCGGCCATTGTGCAAGCACCCTTATTACGTTGCTCTCTTTGGATTTTAGGTTAGGTTGTCAAACAACTCGTGGCTCGAAAGCGAGGCCTGACTTCGCTTTCTAACGAGCATGATAAATGCCGGAACGGCCGTTGTAAAATTTTAAATCTCACTCGAATTCCCGCCAATTTCATATCCAGCCTTTCCTCACCGACGGCTGTCAGTTTTGCAGTCGCGACGAAGGTACGATATTTCGAATTCGATGGACTGTCGAAAACTCAAGGTAAGTACACAAACGCACGTTCGTATCAGAAGACTAATATTATCATTGGCAATTACTTTTTTTTTTTATCTAAAATATACACTAATTTTTATATTACTTTACATGAAAAATATTAATCTCCAATTTCATACATTTCCAACGACACGCGTCGTTCCTGCTTCGTTGCTACATGCACACCTGACCTACGTCTCGTCTAACATAACCAAGAAATTCTTCTAAGCGCGATTAGATCCTCAGCCAGTTCTTCCCAGTGGACTGTTCCAAACATTCCAGTAGTGCCAAGGTAAACGGTAGGAAAAACAACAAGCAGTACCTTCACGCCACTGCAACCAACGTTAGCGGTCGTCCTCAACCTGACACCAAGGTCCCATTAACGTCTTTTTTTCATCGCCTTCCCCATCGCGGCCACACACAGCGCATACACGAGTCAGCGCATGCGCGTAAAAAAAATATGCCAAGAATCGTCATCCAGGAAGCTTAGACGGATTTTAAAAAATATTATCGTGAGGTAAATTTTTCAAAATTTTTTTTTTTAATTACTATCAAAAATGTTATTCTTATGTAACTTTTTTTTTTCACCTTTTTTTTTTCACCTTTTTTTTTTTTTTTTTTTTTTTCCAGTACCTTCGCCAAACCTATTTTTTTTATTTATCCTCCAATCTCGCCTGGCTGTCTACGAAGCCGGCAGAAAAATCTAATTAAGGCTCACACCATTTTTTCCCTTTTTTTTTTTTTTTTTTTTTTCCAGTACCTTCGCCAAACCTATTTTTTTTATTTATCCTCCAATCTCGCCTGGCTGTCTACGAAGCCGGCAGAAAAATCTAATTAAGGCTCACACCAATTAACGATCGGTACCTCGCGCGATTCTTCGCTTTACGCGTTAACTTAGCCCGAGCTGTGAAATACCTATATTTATACAACGCGTTTTATGTATACGGCTATTTCAATAGCATCTACAGTAACGAACGTTGGCAACACAGAAATATATACCAATTAGCATTTACGGAACGCGCAAAAGACACTGTCCATATAGCGGGTGGTTGTTTAATAGACCGTAACCTATAATAACTAGTAATAGGTGATAAAATTAACGCCCGGTTTAATAAAAAATATATTTTACATTTACTTACGTACAATATTACCGTCGTAACATTACGCGGACACCCGGTACGTGACTGATCGGCAAGTTCACGTGGTTCGTTATTTTCGATTTTGTATTTCAATCGCTAATAGAAAAGCGATACACGCCCACCGTATTCCATTTTGAAATCGTCATTACTACTTTGTGTCGTATTATTTTCATTTTGATTCCGTCTTTTTTTTTTCGCTATCCGTGACCTCTCACTTCTTGTACCAACGTATATCGGCAATCGTATAGTATATGCTCTATCGATATATATTAAGTTTCTTTGTACCGCCGTATGCTGTACTTACGTATACAAACTCTTAATGTAAATACGTAAAAGGAGCTACGCGGAAACGTCGTGTGTCGAAATAAAATGGAATACGTTTGCATAACTTAGGTATCTTCTTAGCGCGACTGTACGTGTTGTGTGGAAGTGTTTGTATACTTATATCAGTCGTGTAATATTGCTGTGTATATATATATATATATATTCGTAGTTGGATATATTTACCGTTTAGGAGGGAGTGGTAAAGTTACAGTCTATGTGCGAAAGAAACTTTTTGGATTTACGTGGATGCTGGTTATTTGCATGATTTTTAATTGCATTTGAATTTGACGTTATCAGAATTGTATAGTGAATTTATTGTATCGTCAGGTTGCGGCATTGTTTTTGGTATTATTTATTTATTTTTTTTTTTCGAAAGCCGAAAGGTATAGAAATACGTCATGGAATGTCAAATATTGTACAGTCGATTTCCTGCCCTGTCATGCAAACAGACTGGCCAACCCAGATTGGTAATCTCTTGGCAGTCTGGAGTACTTAAGACGGTTCAACGTACCGATGCTGATATCGAGAAATTTGGTAAATATTTTTTTCGGGTAAACTAAGACAGAATTTAAAGAATAACGAAAAGTGGGACGGAGTCAGTGATGGGATCGTTAGTGGATGTAATAAAAATGAAGTAGACTGGGTTTTATTCGTGGAGTAAAAAAAGTTGGAGATTTGTAATAATGAAACAGAATTTTTTTTTAAAAAACACGACTAATTTTTATCACGAAATTATTATTTGCTCGCGAAACGAGATACGAGGAGGAAACAAAGGCTGGAGAGGTGATGCCGATAGGCGGCGAGGAGGAGTGTTTGTTATTCGCTTGATAAGTCCCATTCGATAGCCGACCAAGCAAGGCCTGCTGATAAGATATTGATAATAAGCGATATGTAGATGGACCAGGCACTACGTGATCTAAAAAATGTCGAGTCTCCGTTAGGAATCGATATCCAATTTTTGATTCTATTTGCAATCCTTATAACGAATTTGGAAATTGAAAGACTGTGAGATAAGGTAGAAAATTTTTTAAAAAGTTCAGGGGACTCTATTACACTGTTAGACATAGGGATATGGCCCCTGGATCTGAAATTGATATTGTCTGAATCAGCCTGTAGGATGCAGTAGTATGGTCCAATGATAAAAGAGTCTTCTTGGCCCTTATAAAAGATGAAAATAAAAAATTACCTCATAAAGATGATTTGACATACCCACTATGGTATCCATCACTGACTAGACGTATACATATGTGTACGGACAATAGACCAACTATGCGCATAAGATTTAAGGCATGCGAGTATGTTTGAAAGGTGAAACGAAATAAGAATTATGGCCTTGTTGGATGAGTGCATAAATAACAAAATGGTGTCGAGCAACAACGGCGGGTTTTAAAATGTGGTTAACGGTACTTCGGACGTCGGTAGGTAACCGCGTTGGCGTCTTGAGAATGTAAAAAAGAATATACCAAAATTTTAGGCTCCCTTTTCGCACGTCTTTGGTGAATGTAGAAAAAGAATATTATAAAAATTTATTTTTTTTTTCCCTTGACTTCGATCGCGTTTTATTTGTTGTAGTTAAAAATTTTTTTTAGAAAATTATTTTTCAAACAATTTTTTTCAATCTTCCGTCACGACGAGGGTCAGGGCCCCGAATTATGCTGGGCACGCTACTGCATTTCTGCCGGTGAAAGTTTTCAGACCTCCCCACTTTCGAAAATACGCGCGCATTATTTCGCTTGTTTACCGAGCGGCTGTCCATGATAATTATTATCAGTTTTACGGATCTCGACCAAATCGCCATTGGTACCATTGCGTGTAACGTGCGCGCGCGCCTAACGTAGAAGCATCGCGATGAAGACGTTAACGGTCATTTTCAAAATTCAAATTTTAAACTCCATTTAGATCCATCATAGATAAATCCCACGAACAATATTATCTCCGGGCAAAAAAAGGAAAACGTAAAAGATAATGACGACATTCTTTAATTATCTAACAGTTAAAAATATTTTCGCAAAAACATTACGGACCAGCAACGAACGCCAAGACGCGTACCACGTGCGCGGGATAGTTTCTGGTAAGAAATTTTTCTCAATTGTGGTAATTGGCTAATTGTCATAATTAACTGAACGAGATATTAATCGAGCAAAATTACGGTAGGATTCTCTGGTGAAGATAAATTTAAAATTCGTTATTACATATACTTTTTTTTATCTCTACTTAAATCGACCTTCGTACCTTCCCGTTATTTATTGTTTACCAAATTTTTGGCTTCTTCGCCGCAACTGCTCGGTTTTAATTTATGGCTGCGATATTGATTTACGGCGTATCTACTACACTAACGACTAGTATATAATAGCTTATGGCAATTTGGAAGACGGTCAGGGCCGGGGATAGGCATAGAGGGACCCAGGTATAATATTAACAAGGAACGAAACTGATACGGATAATCTTTACGAGTGGAAAATGGCGCACGAATGACAATAAACACCAAAAAGTTTTTGTATAATATATTGAAATTTATTTTTTTTTCATGGTATTTCGTTCAAAAATAAAATTATTCGTAAAAAAAGATTTCTCCGCCTTCTCGGTATACAACATATAACACATATACATATATATCTATACATGCGTTATATGTGTATGTATATATATATATATATATATATATATTTATAATCATTACATTATATAATATAGCAATATTTACTCTCGTTATTCAATAAGGTTATGTTACTCTATATGCGTGTAATCGTAATCATCATTATCATCGTCTTCATTATAATAATCCTCATTATCGTCTTATCACTATAGTCTAATGGGGTTTTTTCTCGCTTACGTGCTAAATCACATGTTTTTTTTTACTTTCAATTCACACTCTCAAACTCTCATACATTTTTTTCACAAGTTTCTCGCGCTCTCGGTTTCTTCGCTCTTTTACTTTCGTCCTTTTCGTATAACTACCCCTCTCTGTCTATCTCATTCCGTCGCGATCCATTCAAACGTCATTCAAATACATACTCTCGTATTATAACTAATATTTATCAGTAACGCTAGCGCTTATATTGTTATCTTATAATCGTTAATCGCCACGGCGTCGTCGTCGCGACGTCTAATTTGGAAGGTGATGCAAAGCGGATCGAAAGAATGTTCGCGATAAATTAGGAGGGTAAAAAGAAGACGGGAATAAAAAATTTTAAGTTTCGACCAAATGGGTACGAGGGTACCCTGAATCAAAAAATAATTATAAATATTTCATCGACCAATTAAAAAAAAAAAAGTGAAATTTACCATTTTTCTTTAGCAAAAGGCACACACTGTATTTTCACATACGAGCTACTACTTGAGGATTCGAGATCTTTTTTTTTTTCTTCACATCCTTCACTATCCTCTCCCTCCGTCGTAATCTCGATTATCAACGCGAGTCCATCCTGACCTGCCAATACAGTTTGACTGTATTGTCGGAATGGAAGGAATTGGAGAGACAGCGAGGAAGATATTAAAAAAAAAAAAGGACAGATGTACCAACGTGACTAACGTTCACTTCTATCAGCTTACGGCTACTAGTGGCACGCACACGTTATATAATTCGCCGTGCGTAAGCGCACCGTGTTAAAAAAAAGAAAACCGTAGCCACACGTAGAGGCACACTTGGACGAGGAAAAAAAATCGTTCCGCTTGTATGATTCGAATTTTAAATTCTCCACGAAGAGTGTAGGCGAATAGTAAAAACGTGAGAAAAGAGTAACTGATAAAAAAATTTTGACAGCTGTCAACGAGCGTTACTGTCAAAAAGCACGTGGCCGCATGCCGTAATAATATTAAACGTCTGTCGTCTGTGCATATATGCGTAATGCGCCTATATAATCACGGCATATATACGCACCTGACAGTGCGTATGCTCGGTTAAGAATAAAAAATAATAATAATTATACGTTTAGCGCGTGTCCTCCTCTTGGTTGTCTAATATAAATTACGAGGGCATATTGGACAGGACTAGATGCACAAATGATGATACGAAACCTCTAAGATTACAGTAGACAGTAATATTTAAAAAAAAAAAAAAAGAAAAAAAACAGAGCAACAGTAGAGATAAAGAAAAGTCAATTAGAGAAGATACGAATAAACAAAGATGTACGCGGAAAACAATTAAACGAGAGAATAAGTATAATAAAAGAGGATGATGATAAAAAATACACTCATAGTCTCTCTCTCCACTCTCCTTCTTAATAATTAGGAAAAGAATAAAAGTGTTTCGTTCGAAAGCGATTTCTCTCTCTCTCTCTCTCCCCCCCCCCCCGCCCCTCATTGCCAAAGGAACGTTTGGCTCTTATCGTTTGTTTGGCGCATGCGCCAATTTTCCAGTTCTCCAAAATGGCCGACGGCGCCTCCCACCTTCGAGACTGCTTCCCCACTCCATGGAGCCAGACGATACCTCCCGGCATTCCTTCTGCACTAGAAACTATCCCGACTGAAGATTTTGCCGTGTCGAACGTCACGTATGCGTTCAGGTATTATGCGCAGAAAAGTAAAGGCTCACCAGCCCTCTCCGGTTCACTCGATGTTACGTCCAGTGAATTACTGTCATGGCCACGGCACGTCCAAGGCACTCTTTCCCTCTCATGTTAAATCTACATTTCCCATAATCGATTTGCAGACGATAAAAAATGTCTTCGATCGCCTCCCCCTCGGCACTGACTCCTTGGGCTAGACACTCAAACGGCTTGCTTTAACAAGAAGTACGTTAGAGACACATCAGAACGAGATTCTATGTCTTGTTGCGCAAGAGTTCCTTCTCTTTCCGTATGGGCCGCACTCCTTCGAAGAAGCATATTGTTTACATCAACGCGTCATTATCAGAGGATTGATAGTGGTCCACGGTCGATCAAACTCAAAAAGGTGCAGGTACCGTGATTATTTGGCATCCTGAGTGCACGTGGTCCATAACTTGTTCTTTGAGACGGCACACGTGTTCCTTAAGCTTGTGAACGACACCGCTCAGCTCGGAATTCTCGTTCTTAAGAAGCTTGACCTTGTCTTCCAACCTAGAGATTCGTTCCAGCTTGCGCCTTCTGCACTTCGAGGCGGCGACACGATTCCTCTGCCTCTTCCTCTCGAGCTTTATCCGCTCTTGACTTTCCATGTCGATAGGCGACATGGGTGGTGAACTGGAAACACTAGGAACAGTCTGAGGTTCGTCCTTGATCTGCACCAGACCCTGACTAAGGGACTCGGTGCTCTGGACACTGCCTGGGGGTTCCAGGGTGGTGTAGGTAGCCCCATGGATGCTGCCAGGTTCCTGAGAACTGTCAGAATGATGAAGCTCGTTAAGGGCGTCGACGAAACCTCTGGCGTACAGTTCCTGCTCTTCGGTGACAGTCTTGGGAAAGAGAATTTGCGTCGTGGGTGTTGGCATCGTCGTCACCAGGCCATTCTGCTGAGAGATTATCAGCCTTTCCAGCTCTGGTGAGCCCAGCTTCAACATGTTGAGATCGGGTGAACTCAAGACCGGAGCTGCGTTGTTCAGAGCTGGCGGTAAAGGCCCTAACCTTGGCCTCTTGGCCTGAGGTTGACGCTGTCCGCCGTTGAGGTCCAGGGTGAGGTTCCTCTTGAGCTGACCCACGTTCTCACGATTTGTCGTCCCGTAGACGGCTGTCTCCTCGTAGAAGGTCGGCTCCATAGCGTGGCTACGCACCATCGGTGTCCTCGCTGTTGATCACCAGGAAGCAAGAACGCCTTTCTCTTCAAGATTCTTCAAAATTTTCGCGCCTCAATCAACAGAGTGACCAACGTCACCACTAGGTTCAAATGTCTCTTCACAGATAACAGTATAACTCTCTTATGAAATATCAAACAACAAAAAAAAAGGAGTTCTCACAATTATTGCAGCACCTTATCACTGGCCAATAAAATTCGATACGCTCTCCAAGAAATTGCCACACTCCCTCAGTCTGTCTCATTAACTGATTTCACGTTTATGATCTCAGTTACATAACTCGAGGAACCGCAAACGGACGCATGATATAGAAAATTCAAAATTCTCTACCACTCTCTTGCATTGTACATAGAACGTATTAAGAATTAAAAACAAAATTATTCACTCACGCTCTTCTACACACTATGATCCGTGATAAATCCCAGAAAAATATTATTAAGTTCGTCTCGAAACCAGCCGCGGTTTCCGATAACGTTAACTCTATCCTCGTGCGACGTAAATATATCACATAAGGATTGTCCCTCGATGCTTCTAAACGATTGTCAAGAACAATTCAGTCGTGCTCCTGATAAGCGGTACCATCTCGCACCGCTGTCAACACAACAATGACTCACGACACCAAACAGTATAAACAGAACAGCAGTAGTAACAGGCAGAGAGACTCGCGCACCTCGTGAGAAAAACCTCTAGGCACTTTGCTTCAGTTTTCCTAGTTATATTTTTGCTTAACGCGAGGCGAGAGCCCGTCCACACGCCACAGAGTCTCGGCAACTTGTGAACACCCAACTAAACCTACAGCCTTATATCCTGTGACTCAGAAGAGCTAAAAATAACGATGTCATCACCGTCGGAGACGCCGATTGGCCGGCGGTGGCGTCACTTCTTGGCTGTTATTGGTCGGCTCGTCAGCGCTACTAGGAAATGCCAGACGCATGCGCTTAAACGTCAATCTAAGTGGAGGGAGAGTTTGAACGCCGCTAACGGGCTGCAGCCTACTACTGTCTCCTCTCTATAGGTATACTATATTATATTGGCGCGAGACTCGACCGAGTCTCTTGATAGATTCTACAGTATACGGCGTACTCTCTATACTTTGTGCAGCTCTACACTACAGTTTGTGCAGCCTCTCCCTGTTATACACTTACAACACCACGGTCTCTCTACACTTGGGATTTGTTATATTATGTTACGGATATGTCAAGTTAGAGGTTATGCATACTTTTCCACATTGCTCGCGAGATCTGCGCCTACTTCACGGTGCTTATGCACTTGAGATATGCAGTGCATGGATGGGATTGTCCCACGGCGATTAAATAATCGATACTGCCTTATCGTATTGATTATATGTCTTTGGTTATTTATCAATTTATTATTATCGGCATTCTATATTTCCCTTGAACTTTAATAATTACTATAGACAATTCTTTAATTGTGTTGTAACGTTATTTTTCGTTGATGTGTACATTAACTTTATGCTTTTGGATTTCTATTGTTTATTAACGAGGTGTCAGTTTGGTCTTATTGTCGAATAAAAAAAAAAGTTTCCTGTCCTGGGATCGAACCCGGTACACTTTGTACTAAACAGACCGTCGAAATCGATCATGACAAAAAGGTGATAAAGGGACGATGCTGAATAATATTGACCTACACGAAATACATTACGCGGGTAGCTATTACCGCGCGAAGTGGGCGTTACGACATAGGCGTCGCGACGCTGGTAATAACGAAACAACGAAACATAGTAACTTCTCGTTGTCACTGAAAAACGGGGACAATTATTGTTCGCGCAACTACGAGAGTAATGTCCGTTTAATAAGCGTTAACAGGCAGCAGACTGGTGACCGCGTTTCAATTGAAATTCACCGTCGCTGAATCAAACGATAAAACAGGCTTTCGAATTACAGATATTTCATCCAACCAGACAGAATATCTGAATTAATGATCGAGTGGATGAAACATTGTTATTAAATAATTAAATAATTCAAATTCAAGTAAAAATTGTTTTTTTTTCTTTTAGATTCGAGTATACTACCATAAATCCAAAATGTGAGTTGAACCAAATATTTTTTTTTTACAATTTCATATACACTAATTCTGTAGAGAATATATATATATATACTCGTATATATAATAAGCGTACTGTATTTGTAGATAAAATTTTAATATTTTTATTCACAATTCTATTATTCTAATAATACAAAATTCTAATAGCACAACGTATTATTTTCGAGGCTAGAAAAACAAAATGGCTTATATATTTATTATTTTCAATTCCTGTCTTTATTCTACAAAATATATATATATGCATTGGTATATATAAATAGTATACGATATATTTAGGCAAAATTTGAATAATTTTATTCATATTTTCGTTACGACGTATTAATTTCGAAATTACAAAAATAAAATGGCTTCAGTTTATCGGTCTTGTGCCCCTATCTTTATTTTATAAGAGATACGTATTTTAATTGGTATTATTTTTATTATACTAATGTGATACGAAGAGCGTCTCTTAGGCAAGGGATTATTTTCATAATCATACTGGGGGTTAAGGTTGCCAGGTAAATTGTTTACGCCAAAACTTTCTTCGGTTCTATATTGTTCATACAAATATCTGTACCTTTGGTCGATAATCACCATTATACGATCTTGCCTAAACTCCTTAACGCTATCATCTTGCTTGTATTATAATTATTATTTATGGCATTCACGTGCACCCCTATTTGGCACTAGGTTCAGGTAAATTGTTTGTCAGTAAAAATAATTCCGTACAAGACTAAGGTGTCTTATAGAAAATAATTGTTGCTGCTGCTCAGGTAAAATGTTTGTCCAGAAAGTGAAAAAATTTTGAAAAATTTTACTGCCACACTTATTATTATTATACAGATAAGTATAAAAGAATTTTTCAACCGCTATCGACATACCGTGTAAAGATATTGAAAATAAAAAAAAATTTCATACAACTCATAACCCAAATCTATCCAAAGCTTGAAAAGTCTATAAAAATTCTCAATTAATACATAACAGATATTTTTAATTATCTCGTTTTTGTCAATTTAAAATAAAATTTAAACTCCAATCGCATTTACCGTTAATGCCAATAGAAAATTGCGCAAACAGTAAATAACTATCTTACAGTCCACAGCCAATTGAACTATACTCTACCAAATTAACTGTTATGCATTAAGAGAGTGATTCATAGTAGATAGTCGATTCAGTGTGCAAGATAATATTTTTTTACAGTATAATATATTATATATTATTGTTCTTTGGATTTAAAAAAAAAAAATCCATTATGAATATGTAAATTTTGTTTGTAAGCTTCGCTGTCATTTTAATAATTAACTATCATTATTCGCATGTCCACAGTCTCTGTCCACGTGTGCAAAAATCATATAGCAAAGGTAACCAGATGTAATTTATATGTAAAATTAAAGTCTTACGGAAACGCCGAACGTAGGCGATGTAACGGCATGGCAGCTGGTTTTTTCATCTTGAAATTAAACAAATATAATTAATTTCCGCCCTGACAGCCCTGCCGCGCCATCTGCTCGGGATGGCGCGACGCCGCGTAAGGTTAAATCCATTAAACTTTTTGGCTCCCGTCACGACGCCCGTGTGTCCAGCATCGTGTGCAGTGTATACGATGTCCTGAGTTTCGTTACCTTGCCTTGGCAATCGTTATCTTGAATTTAGATTTTTTTTTTCAATTATCCAAGTCGTTCCTCGTCTTCGTTTCGGGCTCTGGTTCATTCATTATATCACGGGGCGTAAGTATCGAAATATTAATTGGCGATGTATGTATAGCGGATCAATAAATTTGCCGCGAGACATTAACGAGTCTCTTGATGATAAAAACGATGGACTTGGTATCAATTTATCATCGGTATAAAGTGCTAGTCAAATAGATCATTTAGAAATTTCAGAACGGATTTCTTTATCCGTATCAATACCGATCTTCGATCTCGCTAAAGGCCCATGATAATGATCAATCAATTGACGTCGATCGATGTGCGTAAATCTGTTTTGGATAAGACATATTTTTTTTCAGCTTGTTCTCCGTATCGTGGACAAGGTCGTACTTACGATTATATCAGGAGGGATACGTGGCTATTGGACTGTCTTTGATTGATGACTTAATTTGGTGTATATTTTTTTTGGCTAATAATTATTTAATACATTTAATTCTTTTTTAAACATTTTTTTATTCTAATACTTAGTTACCGATGCAGCACTAGTAATCTGGATAGCTTCTGTATCGGCGGTTGGTACAAGGAATATTGAGCTAATGTACCGACTGTTTTATGAAAAAAATTTATTATCTAGAGAGTCCAAGGAAATATTTACGTTTTCGGAATATTTATTTTTTTATACAACTGTTTGATTGTTTTGGAATATTCTTCTGAGTTGGTAATTAGATGCTTTGAAATAAGTCTCGTAATTCATGCTATGTGGGGATATACTTTAGTTCGATTTTTCACCGCTCAAGGGGGCAGCACCTTCTGGACAGTGCGGATTCGCGTACCACGATTGACTCAACGGTTATCGAATATTCTCTATTTTTATTATAAATCTTTTCAATTGCAGAAGGTTCGACACTAGACTTCCGAAAACGTGCTAAGATGAGGAAGGAAGTGACTGACTCGCCACAGCCATAGCGCGCCACATAGCATGCTTTCTCGACGTACTCATATCTGGCTTACAGAGATGAGTAGGTAGATGCATAACGTTACGGTTTTAGGCGATACCAAAATCATGGCGCTAAATTGTAGCGGCGAGTCTGGAAGTAGGATTTTGTGATCATCGCCTCCGTCAACAAAGTATCGTAGCCGAGCTAAACGTGAGTACGAACGCGTAGCTTGGCGGGCAGAGGTTCCCCGCTACTCACCGCTGGTTCCCAAAGCAACCCTTAGAACGAGACCGGGAATTACAGAACTTCTCAAAAACTATTGAAAAAGCCTATTGTTGAAACATTTTTAACACATTTCTAAAAAAGTGTAGTGCCAACTTGACAACATCTGTAGCACCTCAATTTTTACTAAATATTATTGGATCTTGATTTACTTTCAAAGTTTATTCAAAATATAAAATTGAGGCGAAAGCAAAATCTCGCAGAATACACAGAGTAGATAAAAATTGAATTGATGTTGTAGAAATCGAAAATAAATTACGTTGAAATTGACATATTAATAAATTAAGTGTTAGGATCATTAAAATAATTAATTAAATGAATAAAGTAAAATATTAACACCTACAAATCGAAAATTCTGGCCAAGCATATTTAAAAGTACTGGAAGTTGCCCAAA